ATGTTCAACTTTTGAGGCTCGATGCTTGGCATCAGCCAATCAAATCCCGTTTATGCAATTCCCGCCAGTACAAGCGCTAGCCAATCAAACCGCGTGTATGCTGATACCGCAGGTCTGACTATTTTCCATATGTCATAAAATGGAGGATAAATTAATCATTGCCGTGGCAAGTGTCCCAGTCCTGTATGAATACTCTGTTCACCTACCGGGACCTAAACCGGAGGAACCAGGCATGGCGGGAGGTGGCAGAGACAGTTGGTGAAACTGGTAGGTTTTCAACTGTTTGGGGAGTTTATATCCAGTTTACTTCGTTGAAGAAGTGGGCTTTTTTTTGCTTTGTATGCCGGGGGCGGGCGGGAGATTCCTGATTGGTTGTTGGTCGCCTTGGGCGCGAGAAATCGCCAAGCCTCAGACACGCCCAGCTTCAAGATGTTTTGATGCCTGTAGTATAGACGGGCCGTAAGGGTGCAACTTTGTCCTGAAACAATGATGTCATCCTCCTCCATTGCACTTCACAGCTCTGTCTGTGTCTGTGGTCCTCGCCGTCTCTTTGTTCCCCTATTCCTGCATCTAATTTTCAGGCTGAGCCCCTCCATCACACCAACACATCGGCCACATGCGGCGCAGATATGGAATTAGACAGATAACAGAATCAATTTGAAGCGGATTGCCTAACAGTGAAGAGATTGTGAAGGGGAGGATGTGAAGGAGAGAAATAATGAGAGACCAGTGCGGCCGCCTGACTATTAATTGAATAGGTGGAAGGAGGATGAGGTCATTGAAAAATGTTTTTTCAGAAAAATGGGTGTACCGAGCGCTGGGGAGGATTTCATCAGACACACAGATGCACGCTCGCAGACACGCTCGTACAGACAGAAAACTTTTTTTGGGCAGTTACTTTACACGTCAGCTGTTGCTATGGTGATGCAAGTCTGTGATCCAGCCGAAGCACGGGATTGGCTAGAGAGGAGCAAGGGAGAGGGAGACAGGGGGACTTTGTTGGTGGGGTACAGAGGGGTACGGGGAGGGGGCCAGACACAAAGATAATTACATCGATGCATAACAATCCATACAAATGCCATTTTATTTAATAGCATCAGATTTAATGATGCCATCAGTGGACCTTTCCCAGAAGCCTCTACTGCATGGCATCACTTCCAACCTCGTCTCCTGTCCCGTAGAGAGGCGAGGCAAGCCTGTATTTAAATGCTGTAAAGTCAGCTTTGACATTCGCCACCTAACAGCAGGGTGTGTGGCAAATTATGAGCAGCGCACTTACTAAAAATAGCTCCAAACATCTTTGCATGCATATATACCCTTTCAGTCATTTCCAGCAACATATTGACGGTTCATTACCTTGCTATTAAAACACCATCGCATGGTGCGAGAGGTGCACTTAGGCTAAATTGCTGCTGTGGTTCACACTATAGCGGCGTGTGGCCATGAATTTGGTGACTCACCCGGCCAAGCTGTGCGTGCTCGCCTTTGGCTTTGTTTCTGCTTTGACAAGCCGAGGCTGGTGTCACAGTGTCTGCAGGGGCTGTTGTCCTAGGCCCCAGTTTAATCCTAATCCCTTTCCAAACTTTGACTAGGCCATGCTTAATCCTAGACTAAACTGAGACTCACTCCCAAAGGAGATGGAGATGCTCCACTAGCTTGACGGTTTAGCCAGAGCCGTGGTGTAATCCATGTTCAGGAAACAGCCTCTACGTGTCGATTATATGTTTGGGGTTGTGGTTGTGTTTGTGTGTGTGTGTTGACAGGACATGGTTAGCCCATGTGGTGAAGGTTAGGGCATCTGTGCCGCCTTTTTTTGTTTGTGTGTGTGTCCATGTGGTCATGGTCTCAGCTTTTTGTGACCGTGGTCTCGCGTGGACAGGGTATTCGGAGTCTCCCGTGGTATCTTGGGGATCAGTGATTCAAAGAAATCAGGACACACTCTAAATTTGTCACTGCAGCATAACCCACATAATGAAAGAATACAAGCTCCCTAGCATACACTCTCCTGTCTTGCCTTTGCTCTGACTGCACCCTGCGCGTACATTTCCTTCTTTAAACACACACACACAAGCACATACACTCATGTTGACAAGTGTTAACGGGGTAATATGGAAATCAGAAGGCGATGAGCCCATGTTTAAATGAGTCAGTGTTTTCAGTCATCAGCCTTTGCATGGGTGTTTTCTCTGCAGATTGTGTAGCCTCCGCTCAGGAGTATTCAGTTTGGATTATGTTTGTGGTTTACTGAGGCAGATGAGGGAATACCTCCAGCTACCATATCTGAGTTGGTGGAGAAAAAGATTTGCTTGCCCTCAGGCTACTGTCAGGGTTGCGGGGTAGTTTAAACCCAGCTCAACTAGCTTAACACCCATGTATGTCTGAGAAAAAGCTCTTTATGCTTTATAAGATTGGTGTAAATTAGTTTCATCAAATTAGGGCGCATACAGGAAATGTAAGCATAAATCTAATCTGTCTGTGATTACCTTTGTTTCTATTGACAGTTTCTCAAAATATCTTGTTGATTATAATTTGGATTCTCCACCTTAATTGCACTACATTATTGCCACGTGCTATTGCTACAATGGGCTCAGAACATATCTAACTTTACATACCAGATTTCCTAGAAAATCTTAAAACAATCCTATGACATCATAGATTCCAGCGTCGCTTATGATGCATCTTGAGAAAATGGAGCAATATTTTGTTAGGTTTTTTTCCAAGCCAGTCCTTGCCAATTAAAATATTTGAGTTTGGGAGTGTTGGTTTTCGCCTTGGGCTCCGAGAACTCTGTCATCGATTTCGGTTGTTAAAATTTAGGCCAGCTGAAACGCAGCAACTACAGTAATAGTTGAGCTCTAAAAGAATTCCAACACGGCCCTCTTGATAGCCTCTTAAAACTTGTTTTGAAACCTGAAGTGTTTCTCTATAACCTTAAATATTTATGACTAAGTGAGCAACAATTTCAACTACCATTTATTGAGAATAAAACCTTCATATTCAGCTAATCTGTGCTCATTATATGACTAGTCCTTACAAACATTTCCAAATCTATGTTTGGCAGAAAAGTATATTTTTATGTACCCCATCAGCCTCAGTAAGAAGTTGAAAGAGGAAATATTTATTTTGCCTTTTTAAGGTGTTATGTCCTCATCATTTACTAATCACCTCCATGAAACATATGAGATAACACAATTTGAAATGTGGAACAAACTAACCAGGTTCTAACTTCAGACCAAAATATAGTGTCCATTTGAAAAGTGGGGGAAAAAAATATGATTTCAGTGTCTTACCATACATTTTACAAATAAAGACTTTGTTACTTATTTGACTTGGCTTTTACTTCCAACCCTTTTAACGCCCATTGTTGTTGTTGCCATGTTGTTTCCTTTGTTTATCCTTATTCACCAATCCAGTTTATTTGGGTGTTCCTCAGGGATCAAATTAAGGGCTGCTATTATCATTATTTTTGGTTCAGCGCTAAATTATTCTAGGTATGCATGCTGCAAAGCTCCCATCTGCATCTGATTCCCTTTTCACTGAGCTTGCTCGCACATCTCCTTTATGTTCAGAATATTAATTCGCTGCACTGTCAGAAGCCATTGTTTTGATTGGTAAGGAAATCTTGTTGCATGACTGGGTTCCATTGTATTATCAGGCATATTGTACCTCTGCAAATCACACCGAATCTGACACAATAAGGGGAAAGTGCATGTCCGTGTTTATGAAAGAGGGGAAACATCAGAGATGGGGACCGAGGGTCATGATGCGGAGGCGGGAGGTGGGGTGAGGAGGCATATGGCAGTTGTTAGAAAATAGTGAGTGAGATGGGATTGGGAACCTTCAGAAAAGTGCTGGTGGGCTCAGAGGTAAAAGTGTGAGGGAACGAGAGAGGGAGTGTACGGGAAAAAGGGGGGGAAGTGATACAAATGTGGAGAGAACAAGTGAGAAGGAGAGATGTAAATGGTAGGAGGTGAGGAAAAGGGAGTGAGAGAAAAAGTGAGAGACGGGGAACGGGAGAGAGAAAATGCTGGAGGGCTGGTATTTAATGTGATAAATGAGTTGTGACAGTCCGCCTCTAACCCCCTTCCAACCACCGAGGAGGAGGAACACAGAAATAGAAAGCATTATGGGTAAAAGGACATATACAGCATTATATATGTATATAGAAAGAAGGAGGCACGTACATACTGTAAGAAGAGGCAAGGTAGAGGAGAATCTGTGCAGGCTAAAGGACATTCATAGACAGCATTATAGATGTACAAAGTGAAGGAGGCGAGTGGGGATGCATACATATGGAGGGAAAAGCAGAGAGTGAAGCAAAGCAATTTGGGTAAAGGACATACAACATTATAGAGAGGGAATAAAGGAGAGAGGTAATGGCAGAAGAAGGAGGGGGTGTGCTTTGCAGTATTGGGTTAATGATCCACTGTACGAGAGTCTTTGTGGGAGAAAAATGAACGCAAGAGGCATGATGGAAAAAATGAAAAAAATGTTGCCTCTCATCTATTGTAAGGGTGACATGTCTTCAAGGGACAGCTAATTACAACTTGTCATCATACAGCGTGGGACAATAGCTGAAGCTTTTTAACTCATCTTAGTCGGTCAGTCTGTAGGCCAACTGTAGTGGACTTCTAGAGGGAGAGAGTCTCGTAGACAATGACAACCACTGTAGTTTTGGTTGTGGATTGGAAGCCTGTGTGATGACTCATAGGGAGGAATGAAGAAGGGAGAAACAGAGAGAGGGAGGGTGAGTTTTGAAGAACTAAAAGTCAAGAGCTGGAAGAAAAGCAGTGTGAGAAACCCTATGGCTGAAGTTTCCTGTTTGATCTCCCAGCTCCTGAGTCAGCGTTAACCACGTCCTTCTTCTTTCTTTCTTCTTCTCCAACTATGTTCTGACTCTCTCTTCTCTGACACCTCCGCCTTGCCATGCCGCTCTTCACTCGGTGGCGGCAGTTAATGGCCGCGAGCCAACGTATGATCAAAGATGGCATTTCATTTCTGCTGGGGGAATGCAGTTTTCGAACAATTAACCATGAAACCGCAGCTACAATAATACGCTATTCAGTTATATGTGGTTGTGGTGATTTCAGAGTCTTTTTCCTGCAATGTGCACACAGTGAAAATGAGAAATTCCCTAACTTATCCTATTCTTCTTTCCCAATTCCTCTTCTCTGCAGTGTGGACGGCGAGGTTCTCTCAGGAGCCGGCAGACCAGTCGGTGGTGCGGGGCCAGAGGGTGATCCTGTCCTGTGTTGTCTTCAACTACTCAGGCATTGTTCAGTGGACCAAAGATGGCTTGGCTCTGGGTATCGGAGAAGACCTCCGGGGTGAGACATCATGCAGCCCCTTCAGGCATCCTTCACTCCGTTCTGCATGTGACTAAGATGGCCTTCTCAAAGCTGATGCTGATACTTTCCGATTGGAGCTGCTGATAGGCACATGTTAAAGCTGCATATTTAAAGCTGTAGAAATGTTGGGAATGTTTTAAATGCAACTTTTCAGAGGGTGCAGAGGGAAATTGTTATGTTTGTATTGGCACAGTGTTAATTTCGTCAACGAAAACTATGACGAAAAATGTTCGTCAACGATCTTTTTTACATGACTAAGACGAGACGATGACGAGCTAAAAATAGATTCTTGATAACGAAAACTTTGACGAAATGTATATTTAGTTTTCGTTGACGAGACGGGACTAAGGTGTTAATGGTGGACTAACGGACATTCAAAATGCAGGGTATTTTCCCCCAATTGTCCGTCTTGTCTGTCAAAATGCATCTTACGTTTCTAACTTGCAATATAATTATTTCCGCTCTCTTCACTCCAGAAGAGCGATCTCCCTGTGTCTCTCTGTGTGCGGGGGGCGGTGCCTAACAGACGCGCTGCAGCGGCACACAGAGATCTGCCGGGGACGGAGCGTTCAGAAGGGAGTGGGACACATGCTGGAGTCCTTCAAGTTTGAATGACTTTGTATACTGCAGGGTAGCTTGTGAATTTACTCCAGGTGGAACTAAAGTTTGATTTAACACTTGATTAGATTTCACATCATGCATCCACATCTGTAAAGTAACTAAAGGTATTAAATACATGTTGTGGAGTAGAAACACAGTAGCAACACATTTAAATACTCCAGTAAAGTACAAGTACCTCAAGATTGTACTCAAGTACAGTACAATATTTTAACATAATTATATATATTTCATTTATTTCACATTTAAATAAAGCAATTAATTCGGTTAACAATTTGTTAGTTTTTCCCTTTTAAAAAATAAGAAAAAGTAAATACAAGAATACGTTAAAGTACCGGATCGATAAGCAGTATCGATAAGACTAGTAGTACCGTAGAAAACCTTAACGATACCCATCCCTATTACACAAGTAAAGTGTTAAGAGAGTGAAATGTTGCTTTAAGAATTTCAACACTTGATACTGTCACATTGATTCCAATTTCAGATAGGCCTACCTGTATTTGCCTAACTGAATTGGTTTAAAGAGAGAAAACATTTTGACTAAAAGTTGACTAAAATTTAATTTTTCATCGACTAAAAGTAGACTAAAACGTTTTGAGTTTTCGTCGACTAAAACTAGACGAAAACGTTTTGAGTTTTCGTCGACTAAAACTAGACTAAAACTATGAAGGATAGGAATGACTAAAATGTGACTAAAACTAATAACCATTTTCGTCTAAAGACTAAGACTAAATCAAAAACAGCTGCCAAAATTAACACTGTATTGGCATGTGCAGCAACAGTTGCAATGCGGAAGGTCAGAGCTCTCTGCTGGAACTGTTACATTTAGAAAGTTACATTTAGAAGTTTGCATAACATTTGGTATTTACATTTTTTGGCGGGACAACCCAGGGATTTCAAACCGCTTGGCACTTGAAAGACTTAAATCCGATTGCCAAATTGAAAGTTGGGCGTAAAAAAGTCTAAAACAGTCTTTATTACAATTTCGTAGGTCTAAAAATGAACACTCTACTGGTATGTAAGTGCAAAATTATTTTTAGGTTAGGATTTTGAATGATGCTTCCAGTTTTTCATTTTTATAAATAATGCTTTTAGATTGCTGCTAGAGCCCTGTTAATACAGATACTAGAAATACCGGGTTTGAACACAGAACAACTTGAAGCGGATTGTAACAGCCCTGCTAACTGCTGTTTCATGTGTTACAGACGTGGAATGTGATTTTATCAAATACTAAACCCTCTCACAGCATTTTGAAAATCCACGCTCGCCCAGTGTGACATTGCGTGTATGTAGCTGTGAAGGCTAATGTACGCTGACAAAGTGTTTTTGTAGCGAGATTGAGCCAGCAGGGCAGTTTTTGGCCAAGAGATGTGAGAGTTGCTACTGTTAAATAGCAGCCCCCCTCCCTTCCAGTCACACCATGTTGTGACAAACTGTGCACTTATTTAGGTTGATGTTAACTTTAGCCACCTTCTACACATATCATACAATATTTGATGGGAAAGATCTCCCTCGGGACGAGTGACACCCTTCGACTTGATAAAGGGGCATCACATCATCACCTCTGTCATATAGGCAGAGGGAGACACTGACCGGATAATATCTACTATATACAATTTATTTGTATCGATTCATCAGCTAGCTCACATTCCTTTACGCTGCTGCCCTAAAGGTTCCCTCCAGTTTGTCTTTGCATTTCTTCCCCTCAGAGGAAATGTCCTGTTTTATTTATGAAGCCCCCCCGCTTGTCTGTCTGTCAACAATAATTTGAGGAACTGCTTGTCTGACTTTGATAAAACTTGGGGGAATGGTGGGTCTCATCACTGTGATGCAGCATTTTCCGAATTGTGCTGATTAGCCCAAAGGGGGCTGTGCAATTACTGGTCAAAACAAGTAGGCATATTTTCAACTGATTGGTCCAGAGGGAGACTGGACAATTGGTGACATGCTGAGGCCTTGTTTTTTGTTGATGCTGCAGTTGTTTACCCCACATGGTGTAAATATTCAGTTTTTTTTGTTATTTTGTTTTGCTTATTACAACATTTCCTTTCTTTTCCTCTATTCTCCCATCCTAACTACTGTATGACTTTGCATCAGCTCTTTTGTTTCTTTTTCTAATCATCACCCTCTCCTCCACTGTCTGTCATGCTATTCCTCTGCGACCTCCTCATCTTAGCTCCCTTGTTCCGTCCTCTTCCTCTTGTTCTCCTTCTTTAAGCTGCCTCTGTTGCACTGAGCCCTCTCTCCTATTCTTCATTTAACTTCTCTACCTTGTCTCTCTCTTTACCCTCACCCTGCCTGACACACTCTCAGTTCATGCTCTCCTCTTCCTGACAACCTTTCTCTCCTCCTCTCTGTCCTTGTCTGTCCCTTCTCCATTCTTCCTGTCTCTCCCTCCCTTTTTCTTACTCCTTTCTCTGAATCATATTGTTACTGTAATGGTCCAGTGCTTCAAGCCAAAGCTTTTAAATAGAAACGTGAATGAACACTGGCCGCTTCATGCTCACATACACATACACACGGGTGTGTGTGTGTGTGTTTGTGTATGAGCCTCTCTGTCCCTCTCCCCCGCGGTTCTCTGGGCTTTTCATAGGCTTTCTCACTCTCAACATTAGAAATGCAAATGCACGTATATACAAGGCACACATGCACACATGCATGCAGAAACAAGGACACCCAAGGTTAGGCGAGCAGCAGAGCTCAGAGTCTGCACATTGACACGGCACACAGAATTTCACACGCCATCTACGTCTGGGCAGCAAACATGAATTCTGCACCATAGACTGGAGTGGATTTGATTCCTCTAAAACGTTGCTGTCATAATGCATTCATCTTTTCCCCCCGCCGGTGAGGGAGAGCATGGATGCCACCTAATGGTGAGAATGTACAGCAGTGACACAGCTGTGTGGCGGATGGGGGAAGGGAAGGGAGTACTGAAGAGCAGGGTGTGAGAGTGTGTGTGCATCGTGGAATTGTGTGAATGTGTAGGTTTGGTCATGCATTTGTTGTTGTGCACGTCATCATATCATGCATTTCCCTGGTGACATTTAGCCTAATGACGAAAAAGTCATTTTTTTGCTTCATTTGTGACTCAGACCTGATGTTTTCTTACCAGCAGGAACAACCACATGCTGCGTGGTGTCGCATTTTTGAAAATTCTGATACAGACCCCATGGGGATGTTGGGATCCTGTGACGAATTAACAATTTTTGTGTTAAGAGTTCAAATAGGATAGTGACATAAAGTAACCTTCAGCCAGAGAACAACAAGCATAATAGGAATGTAGAATGAGTTTATAAGAAGTGATACATTTAATCAAGACAGTAAGAAAACCTATTTCCTCAAAGTTATTAAGATGAGCTAAATCTTAATGTATTTCGTGTGTATGTGTGTTCCAGCTTGGCCCAGGTACCGCGTGCTGCGAGTGCAGGAGCTGGGCCAGTACAACCTGGAGATCCTGTCAGCTGACCTGTCTGATGACTCGCTGTACGAGTGCCAGGCCCCTGATGCTGCCCTGAGGTCCAGGAGGGCAAAACTCACCGTCCTCAGTACGTTTGTGCGCATGTATGTCAGTGCACGTGTCTATATGTGAGAGTGCTTTTAACACTCCTCTCCTCTCTTGCTCCAGTCCCCCCAGATAACCCGGTGATCGATGGGGGTCCAGAGGTGTTGCTGAATGCGGGGGCGTCCTACAACCTGAGCTGTGTGTCTCGAGGGGCCAAACCGCCTTCTATGATCGAGTGGCTTAAAGATGGGCTGCCTGTAGAGGGGGCTGCCAGCACCACTGTAAGTCTCAAATGGAGACCAGATCCAAGTGTTTCTACAGTACCTGATATGTGTTTAAAATGCTTCATCCATGTGTCCACCCCGTCATCAGGAGGTGCTTCCAGACAGGAAGAGGGTGACCACACGCAGCTACCTGCCCATCCAGCCTGTGGACACCGACACTGGGAGGAACTACAGCTGCGTGGCCACCAACCTGGCTGTTCCCACGGGCAAAATCACAACCGTGTCCCTCAACGTACACCGTAAGCTATTAAATGATATACAGGCAGAAGATGACTTTTACAGAAGAGTATTTGGCCCAGGGTTAAAGTAAAAATAGACAAGGAATATTATTTTATCTTGAATTCCAAGTGAAATTCAAGTTGAAATGCAGCAAATAAAGCTAGAATGTATGGATTAAAGTCTTCATTTTGCAACATTTCAACTTAATTCTTGATATTTATCATTTATTTTGGACAATTATGACCTTATTATCTACATTTCCACACTATTATTAACACTTCATCTTTATTCTCCTTATTCAAAAACAAAATACAAGTCTTTCTCCTCTCCTTTGTTCCTGCCTCACTCTAGTACTCCTAGGTTTAAGCTAAGGAAGTGTCATTGTATTTGCAAAAAACAAGATAAAAATACATTGGCATTGAAAGAATACATTTTCTTCACGATATATTATTACAACAACCTGCTAGTTACTTCACACGGTATCTTTCGACATTTCCAACTAATCAAAAGCAACAAGGCGTCAATTTTGAAAAATAAAACATCTGCGAGCTGCTGAATCTTTCATAGCTGTAACTAAGTAATGCATGGCAGCCATTTTGAATTATCATCCTCCTTCTCCAGATTGCAGCATATATTAGCTGTAATAAGGCTGTTGTAATGTGAGTCTCTGTCTCTCTCTTCCAGATCCACCGTCAGTGACCTTGTCCATCGAGCCTCGCTCTGTCCTGGAGGGGGACAGAGTCACCTTCACCTGCCAGGCCCACGCCAACCCTCCTATTATGGGCTACAGGTCTGCATTCACCTTCAAACACAACCATTTTCATTGGGCCCTGTAGAGATGGAAAAAGTACTCAGATCTTGGCCTTAAAGGTCCCCTATTATACTCTTTTTCATCAATATATTATAGGTCTCAGATATTTACAAAACATGTCTCTGAAGTGTTTGGCTGAAAAACCAAACAGATCATTGCAGCATCCCATAATCCCCTCTGTTTCAGCCCTGTTTCAAAAGTGCTGATTCTCTCTCTGTCTGTTACTTTAGATGAAAATAAGGAGCCCCTCCCCACGCCCCTCTGAGAGATATTTGGTAAGAAAGAACACAATGGTGCTCTAGGAGGAGATTCAGGTGATATGGTGGGGGGGTGTTATCTTGGTTGGTTATTGGCCAATGGTTATACAAGCCAAATCATCTCATCAAAAACCTGTCTGAAAATGAGCTGATCAGATTTTGGCCACTTTATGATGTCATAACGATTTTTTGGCTTGTGTAACCATTAGCCA